CTGTCCCAAAAATAAATAAACGTTGAAAAAAAAATTAAAAAAAAAAAAAAGATGACTATTATATCTAGCCTAAGTCCTAGCTGTTGAGAGGAAAGGAAGGCAAGAGAAGTTAAATAAAGCAGAACTTTATTTAATTCTCAGAACTTCTCTAATTCAGTTAAATAAAAGATGGCAATGTGTTCCATTGGAAAGAAAGAAAGAGAAGAAGATCCATTACCACTGTATTTAATGATGTCAGTCATTAGCATATATGTGATCTAATATTCAGTCAGATATTTAAAGAAGGGCAGATTGTGGGAACAACCTAAAGGTTAAAAAAAATGAGTTCAGTGTTTGCCTGTTAGCAAATAGCTTTACCTGGCATCTAATGTAGACATAATAGGCTAAAACCAGAGCAAACTCAGAAAAAAAAGTACATTTAGAGACATGGTAAAAGTGTCCAGAAAAAAGACAGAAATGCAAGAAACGTATTTGGAAAGCTTGGCTTGAAGATGGTGCTGAACATTATATCCATTAAACTGTATTATAGAACTGAATGGAGACTTGGTGAATGGGCTAAAATAGTTCAAATGGGTTTTGAGAAATTGTCTATTCAAATCCCTTGCCTAAAGACAGATGTGTAAATGTGTAAACGATACAAGATAGGTGCTTTTTTGTTGTTCTCAAATAGTTGAAAACCCTATCCTCAAAACTTACTTCAGCATTTTGTCCTTTCTGGGTTATCTTTTCCTTCTATCTATTCCAAAATCCTCCTAGCTGAGAGTTACAGCACAGTGTGAGATACAATCAAAGAGAAAAAAAAATAATGAAATTTGGCACCATTTGTGATATATAGAATCTAGTACCCTGTGCTGACAATTGGGGCACTTTGCACAATTATTTTAATAAGAAAGAGGTCTTAGAATATAAATTTGTCATTATCTCAGTCCTTACTGTTTACGTTAAAGGAGAAGAAACTGTCCTTAAATTTAATAATTTTCCTAATATTCTGAGTTCTTCTTTGTCCAGTCAATTATAAGTACAGTTGTCTAAATTTAGGCCCAAGTCCTTAACAGGTCTTGATTAATATAAACTGTGCTAGAAAATGTCTATTAACTTCAAGTGGATTTCTTTTCTACTCTATTCAAATGGTTTACATTATTTTTAGGAAATGGAAAATAATCATGTCTTAAGTAAATAAAAAAGAAACATTATTTCTAGAAATTTTTAATACTGTTTTCTTTTTTCATATGTCCCAGAGCATTGAAATGAGCCATGACCACATTGTTTGTCAATGCAGCTCTAAAGTTGACCTTACAAAACAAACAAGCAAACAAACAAAAAATAATTTTGCCTTTCTATGGGGTGCCTGGGTGGCTCAGTCGGTTAGGTGGCCTTCAGCTCAGGTCATGGTATCATGGTTTGTGAGTTTGAGCCCTGCATCAGGCTCTGTGCTGACAGCTCAGGATTCAATCCTAACCTGTTTAGGATTCTCTGTCTCCCTCTCTCTCTCTCTGTCCCTTCCCCTCTTGTGCTCTCTCTCTCTCTCAAAAATAAATAAATAAACATAAAAAAATAATTCTGCCTTTCTGTATTATGTATCATACACACACACAGTATACATAATGTATATGAATGAAATGTATGTGCACCAGTGCGAGCTGGGGAGGGGCAGAGAGAGAGCGAGACAATCCCAAGCAGGCTCCCCACTGTTAGCACAGAGCCCTAAGTCGGGGTCCATCTTACAAACCATGAGATCATCACTTGAGCCAAAATCAAGAGCTGGCTACTTAACCAACTGAACCACTCAGGGGCCCCGTATTTTCATTATTTTTATGTCTACTCAAATATTCTCTCTTCAAAGTCCTCCTCTGTTTAAAGTAGTATGTCTATTCATTTACCCAGCTTTGTTTCTTTTCATACTACTTACAACTACCTGAAATGATACTTAATTTGTTTTTACTCAGTATCCTCCTCAATTAAATGTAAGCTCAGTGAACAGAGAAACTTATTTCAAGATGTAGTGCCAACAAATCTGCAATGAGTAGTAAATAAGTCCTCAAGATCTAATGCACAGTTTGGTGACTATAGGTAACAATATTAAATTCTAATCATCAAGCTTATTAAGAGACTAGATCATAATTATTCCAACCACTAAAAATAAATGATAATTACATGACATGATAGATGTGCTAATCATTGCTACAATGGCATTCATATTACAACATATAAATGTATGAAATTAACATGTTGTACACCTTATACTTATACAATATTATATATCAAATATATTTCAATACAAAATAAGAGCCTCATATGCGGCAGATGCTTAATTAATGTTAGGTGTGGGTCAAATATTGAATTAATTTAGGGATTACTTTTAAAAGAATACATTATCTGGGATATTGATTTGATTTCAGGGCATATTTACCTGGAATGCAAGAGACACATTTGCTATGTTATTATCAATCTATGCAAGCTTTATGCAATTATTTAATTTCTCTGCCCTGACTTTTTCATATTTAACAGGAGGATTTAAGTGCATGATTATGTTTATAGTAAAATATCTTTTTTAAATGAAAGGGTTATACAAAACCCAGAAAGCTGAAAGCCTGAATTCTAATCACAGCTTTGCCACTTACTAAACTCAGTATTTCTAAGTGTAAAAAGAGGCTTATTAGACCTACTTAACTGCACTATAAAAGCATGTATATACAATGCCTAATCACTGGATATTCTCCATATATGTTTTTTTTTTCTTTTAAGGTACTTTCCAGCTCCAATAATTAATAATTATATAATTCTAGCACTAATGTAAGCATGAGGAAACTGGGCATTATCAAATCACACCATTTTGGAAGCTTTAATCTCCTCTGCTGGGGGCTGGACAGTACTCAAGGCCACACAGGCTAGATTATAATCTCAAATAACAAAAATGCTGAACACAGATGTACTTCAGTGCAATACTCATCACACCTTCTTAAAATCAAACTTGCTAGTGATATACATCTCTGAAGACAACTAATCCAGAAGTCTGAGTCTGGCTTTTAACACTGATTAACTCAAAATGACTAGAAAAATGATAGCATTGGAATATATTGGCTGGTAACATGTGACTACTGAGCTGTCATTGACTTAGTAGTGAGGTGCAGTGACAGGTGTATTGGAGCTGTAAGCGGTATCAAATATATCCAGGACATTATGCAATAATAAAGCAGTAAAAAGGTCTTCTCTCTGAATGTAATATTCGCTTCTGCCTAAAATCAGAAAATATACACATGTGGATTTCAGCATACTGACAATGACATGACAGAAGCTGGTTAAGTCTGTGCTAAGGCAGCCCCTGGCATGACTCTAATTTTAGTCATATCTGACTGTAAGATACTGCTGATGAAACTCTCAACTTAGTTTGCATAGCCATCTAAATATTATCTCAAGGCAGCGTCTGAATAGATATTTAAGCCAATATTCACCAACATGAGCTTCCTTGTTCAGCTTCCCTGTTGACACCAACTTATACATGTTATAACATGGTTAAAATTAATTCTAAGTTCAAAATTAATTCTGTGTGTTTGCTACTAAAACAAAAACACATGCACACTCTTAGTTTAACAATACACTCCATATTGGAATTAGAGACAAAGTCGAAAAAAAAAGTTTCAAGAAACTAAATTTGGTGAAAGGTTTCAAATGAACAATGTGCAGGAGTGTATCATTCTTTTTCCTACACCACAAGAATGTCTTTTATCCTTTATACGTCAGTTCAATGTGTTTTGTGTTTCCTTCCTATTCAATGTAAAGCTTCCCTCTGAGTTAATCAAGTATATAGTTGATAATATTGACAAGTATTTTTTTTTCTCTCTTCACTTCTGGGCACACGGTTACATGTTCCTGCTCCTTAATGTTAGATGTGGCCATATAAGTTGCTTTGGTAATGAAATGTGAGCACAAGTGATGTGTGCCACTTCTGGATTAAATCTGTGAGAGCCAGAGTATCATTCCTCATACACTTTTTTTTCTGCTCTTTTTACAATCTGTTTATAGTGACAGATTCACTTTCACATAATAAATGCTAGTATAAATAAAATCATACAGTGTGTACAATTTTGTCTAGATTCTTTCATTCTGCACATTTGATATCCATCAATTTTGTTGAATATCTCTATAGTAAATTTTATGTTGAATAGAATTACATGGTATAGATATAACACCATATATATCTCCTCATTCATCTGTTGATTGACATTGACATTGGATTGGTTCTGATTTTGTCTATTAAATAAGTCTTTTATGAACTTTCATGTACATGTCTTTACATGGACATATGCTTTCATTTGGATCTATTTTCCAAAGTGGCTGTACTACTTCACTTTGTAGGCAACAATGTATGAGAATTTCAATTCTTCCATATCCTCCTTAAAAATCATACTCATTAGTGAATTTGCACTTCCCTAAATTTTAGTGATGTTGAACATATTCACAGGTGTTTGTCATCCGTGTATCTTTTCTTATGACGTTTCTGTCCAAATTTTTTTCCCCTAATTTTTATGTTAGCTGTTTGATTTCTTATTATTTGAGTTCCCTAGACATTCTGGACACAGTCTGATACAAGATGTGCAAATAATTATATTCTACCCTGTAACTCATCTTTTCTTTTTCATAAGTGTGATATTTCAAGAGCAGGATCTTTTTTTTTAAATTTTGAAGATGTTCTATTTATCAATTTTTTTTAAAGGATTGTGCTTTTGGTGATGTATCTAAGAAATTTTTGTTGCTAAGCCCAAGGTAACAAAGATTTCATTCTATTTTTTTCCTCACTGTTTTGCATAGGGTTATGATCCTTTTGAGTGAACATCTGTTTATCGTCCAAGGTATGTATCATTTTTTTTCATACAGACATCCAATTGTTTCAGGAAAATTTATTGAAAAGACTATTCTTTCTCCAATGCCATGCCTTTGAACCTTTATTAAAAAATGAGTTGGCCCTTTCCCTTGGTCTCTTTCCTTTGGTGGTAGTGGCAACAGATTGTGCAGACCTGGCCAAGATTAAGGCTGGAGACCTTCTCAGAAAGAAAGAAGAACTGCTGAAACAGCTGGAAGACCTGAAAGTGGAGCTGTGGCAGGTATGCCTGGGTGGCTCAGTCAGTTAAGCGTTGGCTCAGGTCATGATCTTGTGGTCCATCAGTTCGATTCCCCAGTTTGGCTTCCTGCTGTCAGTACAGAGCCCTCCTCAGATCCTCTGTCTCCCTCTCCCTCTGCCCCTACCCCGCTCACTCTCTCTCTCTCTCTCTCTTTCTCCTAAAAATAAAATAAATATTAAAAAAGAAGAAAGCAGAGTTGAGCTGCCCCAGCTGTGCATCACCAGAGTGACGGGTGCCAGGGCTTCCAAGTTCTCCAAGACCTGAGTTGTTTGCAAATCCTTTGCCTGTGTTCTTACCATCATCAAGCAAACTCAGAAAGAGAAGCTCAGGAAATTCTACAAAGGTAAAAAGCACAAGCCTTTGGATATGTGGCCCAAGAAGACACATGCCATGGTCCACCAACTTAACAAGCACTAGGAGAACCTGAAGACCAAGAAGCAGCAGCAAGTATGCGGTCAAGACATGAGCATCGGCGTCAATAAAGCACAAACTGAAAAGTAAAATAAAATAAAAAAAATAAAAATGAGTTGCCCTTATATATGTCAATCTGTTTCTTTATTTTATATTCCATTTATCTGTTTAATCTATCTTTATGAGAATATCACATGGTCTTGATTACAGTAGCTTTATGATGTGTTTTGAAACAGTAATCCTGCAAATTTGGTCTTATTTTCAACCTTGTTTTGAGTAGCCTCAGCATTTCAAATTTTCATATAAATTTTATTTAAGAAAAATTTTAATATAAATTTTAGAATCAGCTTGTCAATTTCTACAAAAAAATGCTATGATAATCCTTATTGGAATTGTATTAAATCTACAGATCAATGTGGGAAGGATTGACATCTTAAATATACTGAGTATTCCTACATATTATGTAATATTGTCTCTCCACTTATTCTTACGTATTATTTTGATATTTTTAATTTATTATTGAAGTTTAATTTGAGGACTTTTTATATATTTTCATTCTCTACTTATAGGAAATAAGAAGTAAAATTGTAATAATTGTTTTAAAGTACTTTTCCTTTAATTCTAATCATGGTGTCGCCTCTAGTGTACTTTTACTTAACTGATTTTTTTTCCTTATTATGAAGAATATTTCCTTACCTATTTGCATGCCTGTTATTTTTTTAATTATATTCCAGATACTGTAAATTTTATGTTATTTAAAATAATTTAGTGTTTATTTATTTTTGAGAGAGAGAGAGAGAGAGGAAGGGAGAGAGAGAACATGAGCAGGGGAGAGGAAGAGAGAAAGGGAGAGAGAGAGAACCCTAAGCAGGCTCCATGCTGTCAGTGCAGAGCCTGACAAGGGGCTAGATCTCACGAACCATGAGATCATGACCCGAGCCAAAATCAAGAGTAGGATGCTTAACCAACTGATCCACCTAGATGCCCCAATAAATTTTAAATCATTGTATTTTCGTATTTCTATAAATGTTCTAGATCTTTGTTCTGGGATTCAGTTAAGTTACTTAGACATAGCTTGTTCCTTTCAGGTCTTAATTTTATTATTGGTTAGGTAGCTGCAGAGCAGTTCCCAGGCAGCTAATTATTTACCATCAATGAAATAAGACTTTCTTGAGTTGTCTATGTATTGCCTCATGAATTATGAATTTTCCATCTTACTGGTGGGAACATATGCTATTCCTGGCCCTAGAGAGCACCAGACACTTTATGGTCTAATTCATTCGGATAGTTCTCTACCCAGTGCCAAGTAATTTTCTCATGTGTATACCCTGATGCGTTTTCTGCTGACCATTTGAGGGGCATTCTGTAGCTCTCTGGGGTTTTCTTTGCGTGAAGATTTCTTCTCTGTAGTACCTGTACTGGGAACTTTAACAGCTTACGTCTCCTGGAACTTTTAGCTCCATCTCCTCAACTCTTGGAAACTGCCAGGCTCCTCTGTGCAGTTTGTGAGAAAACTCTCCCTCAAATGTAAAAATGATACTGTCATTCCCTTCACCTGAAATCTATTTTATATGGCTTGGCATAACTTATAGGAGTCCTCGTGATTAGATTCTTGCCTACTCCTTCAATCTTACACTGTTCCACTCTGACACAGAGAGCAAAGAAACCTAAGCACTGCTCATAACAAAATCTCCTGAGTGAATTTTTATGCAATTTGTTATTTTTATATAGTTTTAGACTTACAGAAAAGTTGCAAGAAATATAGAGATTTCCCGTAACCCCTTCACCAAACTTTCCCTACTGTTAACATTTTATATTACCATAGTACAGTCATCACTACCAGCGAATTAACATTGTCACAATACTACTAAGATAAAATTTTATTCAAATTTTATCAGCCTTTCCACTAATGTCCTTTTTTTCCTGTTATAGACTCCCATCTTTCATTTACTTATTATCTATTCTTAGTTTTATTTAATTAATATTCTTTTTATAGTTGCCAGTTTACTTTTTTTTCATGACCTTGACACTTTTGAAAAACAGATGCTAGTTATTTGGAAAACCTTTCCTAATTTGATTTTGACTGATAGTTGTCTCATGTTTAAAATAAGATTGTGCTTTTTGGGAAAGAATACTACATAACTGATATTATGCTGTTTTTAGTGGCTTAGGTCAGAAACTACACGATGTCAAAATATTTTAAGACTGGTGATGTGAGCCTCAATCACTTGCTTAAGTTGGTATCTGCCAGGTTTATCCTTCTTAAGGTTACTACATTTAATACATATCTTGGGGTAGATACTTTGAGACTAAGCCAATATCCTGTTTCTCCTCAAACTTCCACTTACTAATTTTAACAACCCTTCCCAGCCTTGTCTTTAACAATTGCTGCTGTGGTGTTTGCTTAATGTTTGCTTCCTCTTTTTCTCTTTCCTTTCAAAATTTTAAATTGCTGGGGCGCCTGGTTGGCTCAGTCAGTTAAGCGTCTGACTTCAGCTCAGGTCATCATCGCACGGTTAGGGAATTGGAGTGGCGTCAGAGCCTGGACCCTGCTTCAGATTCTGTGTCTCCCTTTATCTCTGCGCCTTCTCTGCTTGCTCTCTCTCTTTCTCTTTCTCAATAAGAAATAAACATTTAAAAAGATTGAAATTTTAAAGTGGAATTCTTCTCAGAAAAGGTACTCTTCTTTCCCCCTGTTTATTTATTAATTAAATATTTATATTACTATGAACTCATGGATATTGAATTGCATGGATTGTAATCCAACACTATCATTATTTTATTGTTCCAATTGTTTGGCCATTAGGTTCTACTTTAGGCGGATTCCCGTGTCTTTTTGTCAGGCGTCCATCCTCTTATGAGAACCTGGCACCCCAAGATGTTTTACGCCTATCTTGTATTTCTCTTGCTACAACCCTGGACTCAACCATTTATTTCAATATGGAACCTTAGTTTTTATTTTTGTTTGTGTTTTGTCTTTTAATGTAAAAGTGTCATTTAGAAGAAAAAAAAGGTTTTAGCACTAGTTGTGTGTATGCATGGGTTAGTACACATACATATATTTCTTAGCTCTGTCCACCAACAAGGCTTGGTATTAATAATACCCCAATAACAATGAGCACAAATTAAATATCGGTATCTATATTTAATCTATCAATCGACTATCTATCTAATCTGTTGCCATGCATTTATACGGACACTTCAAATTCCATCATTTGAGCTTTTTCCTTTTCTTATTTACAACTTCCTTTTTAGACAGGTAATCAGCTCTTAGTATCTGTATCTATATATTCACTTAATGCTAGTATATAAATAATTTCATAAATACTTATTCATTCCCTCGATATCTATTTTAATAATTCTATTATATCGATTACAGTATTTATTTATAGGTTCTTTACCTTTAAAAGTTTCTTAGGTTATTTGTTGTCTTCCTATTCCCTTTAGTAGAGTTATATTATTGATTTGTAGTTCAGTTAGGTTAACTTTTTAGTCTTGTATTCTGTTTTGGGTTTCTCAGCACATGCTGGTAGGTTTTAATTCTGGGTTGAGAGTCAGAGATACACAAAGGCTATACTCAGAGAAATTTCATTGCCTCCTCTCCCTCTTACTTATTCCCATTATTTTCTTCTTTCTACTCTTTTCCACCCACTCCTTGCAGGTAATCATTATCTTTCTGATACATTCTCCATTTCATCTCTCTTACAGTCTCTTTTTCATCATTTATAGTAATTATTTTTTTAGATTAATTCATTAGGCCTGGAACCCTGCTAAAGATTTTATATCACTTTGTTCTTCACACACACAAAATAACCTCTGAAATAGTTAATATTTATGTCTCAACTTGATAGGAAACAAAAGCAGTGAGTGTAAGTTGTCAGGGTAGCTACACAAGTGTGTAAAAGCTTGAGCCAGGGTTTATTTGATTTCAGATTTTTGATTAGGTCTCTCATCTTTTTCAACCAAAGATACATTTACACTGAAGCCTTCAATGACCTCCCAGAGCAGCCAGCTGGCTTTCATTTGCCTTCTTCTTAGCTTTCACCGTATTCTGCTCATACTATTCATATAATATTTTGAATCCCTGTTCTGCCACTTACTATTTGTATGACCATGTGTAATATTAGTTAACTTCTGGGGTACCTGGGTAGCTCAGTCAGTTGAGCATCAGACTCTTGATTCAGCTCAGGTCATGAACTCATGGTCCTTGAGATTAAGCCCCACACTGGGCTCTGCACTGACAGCATGGAACCTTCTTGGTATTTTCTCTCTTTCTCTCTCTCTCTTTCTCTCTCTCTCTCTCTCTCTCTCTCTCTCTGCCCCTCCCCTGCTTGCTTGCACGTGCTCTCTCTCAAATAAAAAGAAAAAAAAATATATATATATATAGTTAGCTTCTACGAATCTTCATTTTTAATCTGTTATAATAACTTCATGTGATTGCTGTGAATAATAAATGAATACTTTTAAACATTTATATCTCATTAGAACATAAAATCTAATAATTGCCAAATATTTAAAACTTAGCCCATGCCCTGTTAATTTATTAGTACTTAGTTAATTAAAAATATATATTTTTGTTTGCAATATGTCCTCTTTCTTTCAACTAGGTTCTATGGAATTTGGGGGTCATTCGATTCTCTCTGATGCTTAAAAATTGTCTGGAACACAGAGCTATGCTCAGTATGTGTTTGAAAAGAAATGATTGTATAAAAAAATTAAGGTCTACCTACAGCACTCCAAACGTTAAAAAAGATGAAATATGATTGTTAACCTGCCCTGTACTTGAAATTAAAATTTAAAGTGAATATGGAATTAAATATCTGCATTAATATAAATGTTTCTTGGGAAAATAGCATCCTTTTATTAAAAATTGGGTACAATGTAAACTAAATCTGGGTACCAAAACCCCTTTTCCAGTGAAACTTGCATTTTTTTTCTCCTAAATTTATTTATTTTTTTTTAATTTTTTTTTTCCAACGTTTATTTATTTTTGGGACAGAGAGAGAGCATGAACGGGGGAGGGGCAGAGAGAGAGGGAGACACAGAATCGGAAACAGGCTCCAGGCTCCGAGCCATCAGCCCAGAGCCCGACGCGGGGCTCGAACTCACGGACCGCGAGATCGTG